TTGTTCTCCGTGGTGTGAATGTAATGTTTGAGCTAAGGATTAGTGGAATCGTTTTGTGAAGAGTGCCACATGTAGCTTAACCCCCCACGGAGGTTTTGCTTCTCCATTTATCCGCTTGAGATTAAGCAGCACAACACGTTGAAGTGACTCTTATTTCCTGTATCTTTCGTTCTGATGTAACGGAATTGTTCGTCTTACACGCAACCCCCAAAGTTTGGCTCTGTGCCTCGTTCAGTTTTACAAGTTCCACATCAAAGTGTCTCTCCTTTATAATCTTGTCTTTTGTATAGTTCATATTTATACAGGGTGTAAATAAACATATGTTACAACGCTCTGTGGTAGATATATGGGTTCAATCTGATCATATTTTGTTAATACACACACGTCCGGAAACGCTTCCTTTTGCCACTAAGGGTCACAAAAGTTCCCAAGAGGATGCATAAGTTATGGGATGTTATCGTTATTTTACAAGATAAAAATTTCTCAAAATGGCGGCCGCCGACTTCATTGCATGTTCTGCACCACCTGGCCATGTTATGCTGAAATCTTTGAAAGATGCCCGGCATTTCCTGGATGGTTTCAGCTGCTACTGGAATTCTTGTCACAAGAGTGTTTCCACTGGAGTCTCGTACACCAGGCTTTGCATGTACCTCCAGAGAAAATCTAGTAGAGTCAAGTCAGAGGAGCGAGGGGGCAAGGTTATTGGGCCTCCACCGCCAATCCATCTGTTGTCAAAGGTTGCATCCAAATACATTAGTGCAGTGTGCCGGGGCGCCATCATGCTGGAACCAGATTTCACAACTGACTTCGAAAGGCACCACTTACAGCAGCTCGGGTACGATCTCTTGGAGAAATGTTGAGTAAATGTCACCGGTAATCCTCAGAGGTAGGAGGTAATGGCCGATTAAATGTCCACCGATAATCCCTGCCCACACATGGACGACGAAGCGGTGTTGGTGGCTTCGGATATGCTTCGCGTTACGATTTTCTTGAGCCCGTACATGGCTGTTTCTGGAGTTGAAAATGCCGTCCTTGGTAAAGGTCCTTCACATTTGAGAGTCCCTGGCGCGTAAACAAAACCTTTTCTGACTTGAGTGTATTAAAAAATATATTGAACTCATGTATCTACCACAGAGCGCTATAACATATATTTATTTACACTCTGTATATTGCCGTAAATTCTATCTATTTCAGGATCTGGATATCGGAAATTTCCCTGGTCTCGTGAATGTAAAGTGAAAAGCAAAGCAAAATACCTCCAACAAACACAAATTATATAACACTGAGTAGGATAAATGAAGCATACCGAGTTTTAATGGAGAAACTTGTTTGAAAGCGGCCATTTGGTAAACCGAGAAGGAACTTGGAGATGGCCTTAAGAGGTACTTAGGGGGATGGGTTGTCAGAGTAGGGGAAGGATGTCCAGAGTTTTGTCTGTCGACTGTCTCCTTATTAAGTTCTTAATATGCGGGAAGTGTAATTTAGATATAAATAAACGCAGTGACTTAAATATTGTTGGGTTATTCTGAAATGATGACATAGAATAACTGTAGCTGCTACCAAAGAAAGTCTTGTTCTATTCCTCATCTGGCATGTCTGATGACATATTAAAGTACATAAGTTATATACACGTATTAAACATTTTGGTCAGAAAACCTCAAAATTAAGAGACCACGCGAGAGACTTGGAGCTTAGATGATGAAATAATATCAGAATGATATTATATTTAAGCATCCTGTTGCACTCTACACGATAAATGATACAAACTCCGTCCCAAGTGCAAACAATATATATTATANTTAGTGTTTTTCTCACCCATCAGTTATAATCCTCTTTTTAGTGATCTTAACTAATTATATTTTAATTTCAATTTTATTTGATTAATATTGTCTCTCCCACACACACGCACATGTGCAACTTGTGTCTGTGTGTCTAACTTTCTTTAATGTTTCAATATGCATGTTTCAAACAGGAAATTCCTATAGGAAGTGTTCTCAGTAAAACCTGGTAAGTCCCATTATAATAATGTTGTATTTCTTACATTTCATATTGATCAGAATTTGGGTTTTTGCTGCTGTAAGGTTCATGATTATGATCTTCTGGCTGTGACTTCAGGTATACATGGTACTTAGAAGATGAGGGCAGTATGTTACTTCAAAATATTGATGGCTGTTATCAGAGTATATTGTGTCATAACTCAAGAAGATTGCAGAATTAACGTTTGAAATGTTGTCTCGAATCTTTAACTCAAGAGTTGTACACACTGCACAATGAGGAAACGGTCTTAAAATAAACACTGTGCTATCAGTCATTGTGGGTGTAATGACTTTATTTTGAGTGCATGCTAACAGAATTTGGGAAATACCAGTAAAGGAATAGCTTATTTACAACAAAACAAGCTATCTTCCTTGAGGAAATGTGAATTCTCATTTTCTGTGAAATAAAATAAAGTAATTAATTAATAAATCAGTGATTATGCTACTGCACAGAAAGCAAACAAATCCTTCCATTTTTTTTTATTATTTTCTTTCTGTGGAACTTCTTCCTTGAGCCGACCATATCCTTTCTGCAGGGTCTTCCTTTGATCTCTACAGCCCCTGTCAAGATTCTGTGGCTGCTTGTTTGGTCCCCCTTTTGTCACTGTCCCAGGCCAGGGTCGTTGACTTGGATCTTCTCTCTAGTTGAGAGACAGTCACAGATGTGACATCAATAACAATGCTCCATGCTTCATTATGCCCCTGACAAGTGAGAAGGGTTCTTCCTCTTGTGCTCATTTCGAGCACTTTGTGGCAATTGCCTAGTACTGTAGTTACCAAATGCTCGATTAATTGGGTATGTTTGCCAGTTCCCACAGTCTGTAATGGTTTTTACACTAAAATTGCTTCCTTTTTCAAGAATTGTAATAGGTTTTGGGGTTCTGCTGTACTTGTACATGTTACAAAGGCAAGGAATATTTGGCATTCTCTTCTTCATGTGAGTTCCAGTTAAATAACGTTCTGTTCTGCAAAGTCTTGGGTTTAAGGAATTCTCTTCAGTATACTTTCCTCACAGAGTGTATTATTTGTTTCTTGTACCTAACTCTGTAGTTCCCTGATTCAAAACCATAGAATGAATGTCACTGTAATTCACTGCCTGAGGAGAGTTTCATATTGTGATTTTAGAGATCTGTAGAATGTAATGATTTGTTTGTAAAATGGTGGTAATGGCTACAGTTGTGACTTCCTTTGCATTCTGTACCACTAAGGATATCCAGTAACTAGAAGCGTATATCAGTTGAAGCTGTACTGCAACTTACACCCCCTGTTTAGGAGTATACATTTCCACATCATTCAAATCTGAAAGGTAAAAGGTAACAAACAGGCATAAGGTAATGGTTAACTTATCCCTATGCTTAATTATGCAATGAATGCATGTGTGGGAGTGGAGTTATAGCTCCACCATTATTAACTTTGGCACTAGATGGAAGTGAGCAGTCAGCTTACACACCCCTGCTACTTTATTTATATTGATATATCCCCAGTACCCACTGGATAGGGGCTGGGTGGACCCCAGAGGCAGTCTAGCTGCTGCAGAGAAGAGATAATCTCTTGCCCCTGCTGGAAGTCGAACCCCAATCATCCAGCCCATAACCTAGTGATTCTACTGACTAAGCTATCCAAACATATCTGGAAGGTATAAGTACTAAACCTCTTTCTTGGTATCTCCGTAATATAATGCCCTATATCTATGCTGCAAGTCTTAGGCATAATGAAGAAGAGTGGAGGTTAGGATGATTTGCGAGCAAGTTAGGAAGAAATGTTCATAACTCTGTACAAGACAGGAATATCACATATTGCTGTTACTTCCCTTCAAATGGGAATGGGACAGTACTTCTGTGTATAATTCCCAAGGCCTAAAGAGGGCAATTATTCATTCTTTCATTCATGGCGTGCAGCAGTAATTCTTTAATTTGAATCATCAGTGAGACCTGAATATAGTACATTGATGTCTAGTTTGTGTTTAGGGTGGTTGATATATATTTAATATTACCTCTCCTTCCTTTATTTTCATTATTTTTAGGAAGTTAATGCAGACATTGATAACTTGAAAGATGATGATGCCATGAAGGGTTGGTAAAATCCAGGGAATGTCTGTTGGCAATGGATATGGTGGTTTGTATGTAAGGAGGATGTGTCTATTGTAAGTTTTAAGCTGAGGTAATTTTGTGGGGAAACAGCCAGTTCAAAGCAGAATGTCTTGGTAGGTATATAAATTGGTTCATGTGGTTCTGTCATGTCTTACTGCGGAGTTACACACTATCGAACACAGGGAACTAAGTGATTGTAGAGCTATTGAGCATAGTTAATAACTGTAATCAAGTGACTGACGGGAACAAAAAAGGAATTCTGTTAGAAGGGTGAAACAGCCTCATGCTACATGCTCCAGTAATGTGGTCTTATGCTCATTACCTTGCATGAAATTAAGAGTGTTCAAATTGTAGAGAATGAGATTAATAGTGAATGCACGAGAGAGGTGAATCATGCTCACAAATTGTTATTCAGAAAACATGAACAGAAGAGAGAACTTAGGGTACAGGAGCAGATGGAAGAATATTATTAAAATGTCATGAGAATGTGGACTGAATTCATGTGGCCTAGGATAAGGCCAAGTGGAGGGCTGTTGTGAACAGTATACTGAACCTTTGGATTCCATAAAAGGCAGGGGATTTCTTTCCTAGCTGAGCGACTGTTAGCTTCTCAAGAAGGACTCCCCTCCATCAGAACAATTAGATTCCTAATTTGATTTGGTCAGATCTAAAACTTTGCCAACCTAATATTCAAGACTGAAGTGCCCCACAAGCATGGAGGCGATATGTTCCTCTCAAACATCATGCCGTCCCCAAAGTATACAGCATTACAACCCAGAAGACTGTAGTTTTCATGTTTTCATATCAGTGGAGTATCAGCTGTTTCCACCACAGCATTATGATAACTAATAAATACCTCATTATTTTTCAACAGAAAAGAAAAATGGTTGGTGATGCCACATCCACACAAGTCTTAAGGGATCTTGAGATTTCACTGAGAACAAATCACATTGAGTAAGTGATTATTTTATGTTTATCTATATAGAATAACAAAATTAAAATTATGACAAAAATTCAGAAGTTTTTATGTTTTTAAAAACAGATCTTTGCATATGCTAGGAAAGTGGAGAAATCGATTACAGTATACGTGACACAAGTTTCAAGGCAAGTAACTGGGATTATTTTAAATTCACTTCAACAAATAAAGAGTTCTGCTGAAAAATGTATGAAGAAAGTTCTCTCGGAAGCTTTTGCTACTGGAATTGCTAATATAATCATATATTAATGAATGATTTTATAGACATAAAAAGGTTTCTTCATATGTCTAACTCCCAGATAGTTTTATTAAACTCTTTGGGATACTTGACCAGCTTTCTCTTGTTCAACACAATAAGCTAGTTGTCATAATATTGTCATGTGATAAAGAGTGACTATAGACGGGGTTTTGGTTGGTAATTGGACTTATTGATCACTTATATAATTTGTTACTGCACGTCACAAATCACTGTAGGACACACTAAGTCTTCTCAGTCCGTTACAGTCTTCAGTAGCCGTTGCTTGGTAGCAGCTTCCAGTGGTGGACGTTCCCATTCCTCTGGGTTCCCAGACTGTCCCCAGCTTCAGCTACCAGCTTCTCACAGCAACAGCTCAGAATGACTGAACCCCAGCGATTATCTAACTCACTCACCAACCAGCTCCTGACTCACTGCCTGCAACTCCTAACTTGTCCTGCTTATAACATCTCGACATGGACTGTGTAGAAAACACCGTTCCTCTATTGTTGTTTATGGGCTGCTGTCACAATATTTTTGTCTAGGTGGGTGCGTGAGTTTCTGGATGACCAGAACCAGGGGCTGGATCACCTCATTGAATACTTGAGCTTCCGACTGGTCATGATGAGGCATGAACAGAGGATATCAGAGTCACGGAACTCCTCAGAAGAGCGCCTGGCAGGCAGTGTAACAGCCGGAGGTTCCTCTGGACCAGGTATATTATTTTGAAACTTTTCTTCACACAGATTTGCTCGCCATATGTAAGAATGATCTGCATGAAGAGTGGGAAATTCATTTTTGGCTTCCATTTGCCCCGGAAGGCTACCAGATTCATTTCTCTATACTGTTCTCATCAAACTAGAAGGACATTTCTTGATCGTGCATAGGAGAGCCACACTAGTACCTGTACTAAAATAATAAACAAGAAGTTATGGGAAATCTAATGACCTGCTTTCGTTTGATATGAGACGGATCACATTAAAAACGACACATCCAGAAATTCTTCTGTTGTGTGTGTGTGTGTGTGTGTGTGTGTGTGGGGTTGTTGTTACGGTGAGGTAGGCCGCACACCGGCGTGTGTCAAGACATTTAACAGTCAAGACACGATGTCTGCGACATGATGGAAAGAAAGGAGCACAGCTAGAACAAATGAGATTATGAAAACTGCCGCACACCAATATGAGTCATGATGCTGATGTCAGCTTCATGCTGACGAATCACCAATGAAGCAAGACTGCATCTTTTGTCTCATGTCTTGAGGTTTGTCTTGATACAGTTGGTGTGTGGCTGCCCTAATGTTTTTACCAAACCTTTGCCTAATAACAATATGAGATGTACGCATACAGACACACAGATTGATGGGTGGGATTTATGAAGTACACTGTTGAGGTGGGCACAAATGCCATAATATACATACCAAGTTTCATGAAGACTGGTTGAGGCATTCAGAAGTTGATAGGATGGGATACACAGACAGCATGGTGATCTCATAAGCCTACTTTATTTTTTCAAAATTAGGAAAGTAGGCTTCATTATTCATTGTATGTTGGCTCATATAATTTGAACATGAGAAAGATGTGTTCACTGGATCGACTGCTCACACTGTATAAACATTGGTCATGCAATACAGAGCATTACCATAAGGCATTTTATACAGCGGGGCCTACTGAATTTCTAAAAATCACTCATTTACTGTGTGAATTGTTACAGCCTCCATAAGCAGTCCAGGTCATAATAATGGCTACCTTCGGCCAGCATTGGAGATGCTGGATAGCCCAGGTGTGCGCAGACGTTCTCGACATGTTGCCAAGCTCAACATGGGTGAAGCGAAGGATGACATCCATGTCTGTATAATGTGCCTGCGTGCCATCATGAATAACAAGGTAATGGAATCGTTTTTATGATAATCTGGTAGCTTAATCCTCTAAAATATGTTTGGTTTGTTTTTGCACATGTTCATAGGTAGAGTATTTAAAAAAACAAGGATTTTATAGTTTATCTGGTCAGTAACTGTGTAGGTTTTTTGTGTTCTTCACCAGCATTCTGTGGAACATGTTTTTAAACTTTTTTTTTTTCAAGTGTAGACTGTCATTTGCCTGATTCCGTCTTTCCATCAGTCATTAACCAGTCCAGTCATCTGACTTTTTAAGTGTTTTCAACAGATTTACATGTGCACGCAAATTCTTGTTTGTTGGGATCTTGGTGGATCCATGGAAAACCACTGAAAATAATATAATTGTAATGTTACAACTGAGAAAGTACATTTTTGAAACAACTGCTGTGCAAGAAAATTGATGAAATAATGGATTATAATTAAATACCATATGTATCTGTTAAGCTCTTTTAAGTCTTCAGCTATAATGTTTCTGTGATCTTTCCATTTAATTTTTATCTCTGTTACAGTATGGCTTCAACATGGTTATCCAACACAGAGAAGCAATTAACTGCATTGCCTTAAGTCTTATGCACAAAAGTCTGAGGTATGTGAGAAAAGTGCTAGGGTTGAAATAGTGATTTCATTCATTCATTAATTATTTGATGTGAACTGCACATGGTAGTGCAAGTGAGGAGGTTAGGGGAAGGTCTCCAGATATTGAGAGGTGAGATTGAACTTGGGTAATACTTGCTACCATTCAGTCCAGAACCTTTTGTCTTCATGTCTGCTGTCCAAAAACATAAAAATTAGAATATACAAAACTATAATTTTGCCTGTGGCTCTGTATGGGGGTGAAACTTGGTCTCTGACATTAAGGGAGGAA